CCTCTGTTCCTTTCCATCCTCCCGGAGGGTCCTGACACTGCCGGGGCGGGGGGCTGCCACTGTCACCCCCAGCCTGCCAGAGGGGCCATGGGCTCCCCAACCCCTCCGTGCTCCAGCTCCCTGTGCAGCTCCTGCGGGTCCTGCCCACAGTGGGGTTGCTTTGCCAACCCCCCCCTTCCCCTATGACACCCCTGGGGGTCTCTGCATCCCACTGCCCCCCCCAGGTCAGCCCTTACCATGGGGTGTGGGGACGGGAGGGGGACAGGGTGGATCCTGATGGGGAAGGAGGACGCGGCGCTACCCCGGTGTGATCCAGGTGACTTTAATGCCGTGGGTCGAGGGGCCGGGGGCACGGCTGCCATGGGCGCTGCCACTGCTGCCACCACCCCCCTTTGCCCTGTGTCACCCTTGGCCACTCAGGGGCTGCCCCGGGCACACCCTGTCAGCAGTGTCACATCTCTGCCCTGTCCTTTGGTCCCCAGATGTGCCCCTGAGCTGTGCCACGCTGCGCTGGCTGCTGGCAGAGAACCCCGGGGCCGAGGCGCTGAGCAGCGCGGAGGTGGCATCGGTGTGTGGCACAGCACCCGACGGCGGCCACGTCCAGCTGCTCGTCCGAGAGGCAAGGAATGGGTTAGCCCTGAGCCAAGGAATGGGTCAGCCTGCAGGGAAGCTCCCTGTCCCACAAAGCCGTCTCCTTCCCGGTGCCAGGGAGCGGGGTGATGCACGGCCACGCCGTCCTGACCTCCATCTGCTGGGCTGGAAGGGCAGCATTCCCGCTCACTTCTCCCAGCCCTGGGCTTCCCAAAGGCTGTGGTCACTTCCCTCCTGCTCCATGTGGGTGTTCCCCCCTCCCAGTGTTCCCATTTCCCTGCCAGGTAGGACAGTGGGTGCTGCTGCCGCATCCTTGTGGATGCCTCAGACACTCACCGTGCCCCAGCCTGGCATGAGGCTGGGCTGTGGGAAGAAATGGCCTTTTCCTGCTGGCTCTGGAGAACAAGGGGAAAACACAGCTGGATTTGGGGTGTAAATCCGATCTCCTGCAGCTCATCCCCATTTCATGTAAAATTCCCCTCTAAAGGCACAGGAAAACAGGGATTTCTGCCCAGCTCTGCTGGCTGACCCCGCCGAGGGGCCCCAGGTACCTGGCACGGGTGGATTCCCCTGAGAGCTCGCATGTCCCCAGGGTGATTAATGACTGTGTTAATTCTGCTGGGGCTGAGCCTGCCAGGCTCAGTCCTGGGAGGGCTCACCGGGGATTCTGTGGGCACTGGGCTGGGGACAGCTGGCCCTGGGGCTGGGGTCTGTGCCCAGCAGGAGGGTTTGGGGGTGAAGGGAGCCTCCTGGGGAGCCTGGTACCCATGGGGAGGGGTCCTGAGCCCCCCAGCTGCCAGTGACACTGCTCTCCCTGTCCAGGTGGCCATGAATGACCTGAGCCCAGCGGGTCCCATCCAGGCCGTGGAGATCCTGATGGAGAGCCCATCCCTGGCCCACATGTGCAGGACACACCACGCCGTCATCCGGCGCATCCAGGTATGCTCAGGCACTGCCCTGGGGGACAGGGGGACCCCAAGGGACCCAAACTCCCCCCCAGGATAGAAGCTGGGGGTGCAGCACGGGGATTCTGTGGCACCATCATGTTACAGTCCAGCCCAGCATGGCCTGGGGATGGTGGGATCACCACATCTCAGGGCATTTGGGCCACGGAGCCCAGGGCAGTATTGGCCGTGTGCCCCGGGCTGGGATTCTCAGGTTTTGGGGGTCCCCAGGGTTGGGGCCCCTGGAGTTGGGGGTCCCTGGGGCTGGGTGGTGCCAGCTCCCCCAGCACCCTCCCTCCTCGCAGGCGCTGGTGCTGGAGCAGGCAGCGCAGGGCTCGGGACCCCCCGACCTCCGCATGCAGTACCTGCGGCAGATCCAGGCCAACCACGAGGTGAGCACCCCCTGATCCCTGCCCCGTGGGGTGCACGCAGAGGTACCCCCCCACTACATCCCCTCCATCTCCCTCCTGCAGATGCTGCTGAAGGAGGCACAGACCCTCCGGGACCAGCCGCCCCCGGATGAGGAGGGGGCTGAGGGCGCTGCCACGGCCGAGAAGCTCCTGAACATCTACCGGCAGCTGAGGAACCCCAGCCTGGTCCTGCTGTGAGCGGGGGGCGGCCAGCACGCCCCAAAAACCCCGCCGGCCGGGGCGGGTGCCCACGGGAGAGCCCCCCCATCCCAGCCCACCCCGCCGGAGCAGGGGCGGGGCGGGCAGTGGTCGGGGCGGGGGGTGTGTCTGTGCGTGTTTCGTGGTCGTGTTGTCGGCAGCACCGGGGGGTCTCGGTGGCGGAGCGGGGGCTCCTGGGCTGGCCCAGCCCTGCCCTGCCGCCCCCCAGCCCGGCCAGGCCGGGGCAGCCCCCCCGGGGCCGCGTGTTTTGTGGATCCGTGGTAGTGTAGTGGCCGTGCCGAGCCGGGCCGGCTGCGGGCTGAGCCCCCCGAGCCGTCTTGCCTTCAGGATCAGGACAAACAGGGTGCTGTGCCCGGGGGAGCCCCGTTTTCTGCTGGGCAGGGGAGGGGGTCTCCGCTCCCCCGTTGTTTCTATAAATGATCCCGTATTTCCGTGCTGGTGCGGCGTGTTTGGGCCCCGCCCTGCCCGCACCGCTCCACTGTCTGTAACTCTGTCGTCTGCCATGAAAACGATCCTGTCGCTCACCCCGTGCCCGCCTCTGTTCCTTTCCATCCTCCCGGAGGGTCCTGACACT